TATAAGCGTTTAATACATTTTGTCACAATCGTTTTCCCTTTAGTGTCAAATCATATAACTGACTGCTGCTACTACTGCTTTCCTCACCTGCAGCTTCTTCAGACGTTTTACCTTCTTCTACTGCCTTGACCCACAAGAGAAACCTAATAATAATAATAATAATAATAATAATAATAATTATTATTATTATTATTATTATTATTATTATTATTATTATTTTTTTTTTTATTTTTAATGATGAATACGATAAAATATTCTGAATAAGTGTTTAATTTTGTCTAATAAGGTTGCGCGTATTGCCTAAAGTAGCGTATTACGTTGTGAAGGCTTCTACCTCCGCAGGTTCCTGAAGGATGCACGAACGTTAACCATCTTGGTAGAGCCACTTACCTTTCTTTCTCAGACATTGTTTGTTTCTACTACGAGATGTTGTTTCTACTTTCTCTTATATTGTCCTTCAGGTGTCCTCACACCTGTCCCAAATCTCATTACCTTCCATTGTTTCATCTTAAATTAAGTAAACATTTGTTTACACAAGGATCTCCAATTAAGTAAGAACCACCTAGAACACTCTACAATCTACCTTTTGGTTGTATATGTTACGACAATATTTTAGCTTCCGAAAACATAATCATGTAGGATCGTACTTGCTCAGTAAAAATGATTTATTGACTTCATAATACGGTAAGTCGTAGTCGAAGGGTTTCCCTCCTTGAATGTGAAACCCTTCAATTCTGATTTATTTCTTCAACACACTTTCATTTACTCTAGTTTTATTCCAAAAACATAACAAATTCCACATATTGTGTTATATATTGTGAAAAAAGAAATTGGGATTGACTTCTGGGGCTACGCGGGGTCATTTAGAAACCGTTCCTTTACTCCACTAACTCCTGCCCACCAAGCATGCAAATTAAAAACATTTAATTTTAAACCTTCAACCCCAGTTCAGCTTCATGATACTTCTGCAGAATATGCTGACATGCTCTTAGCTCAATGGTCTAGTGTCTCACAAATTTCTTCCTTACCCCAGATATACAGCAGCATTTAAACAATACCAACATTAACAGAAACTTTAATATCGAAATAGCACGTTCCTCGCCAGATTTAACGAATCAGGTTGCTAACCCCTTTTGAATTGACATCAGCATTAGGGAAATCTAAACAAACTGCCCCCCGGTGAGGATGGTACAACTTATAACACATTAAGCTTACTGAATGGTATCCCTAGCCACCCTCTGCTTGACCTCTATCAAATGAGCCTCTCACAAGGTATGTTGCCAAAGAAATGAACACAAAGTCTTATACTACCAATTCCTAAACCGAACTCAAAAATTTAAACCCATTTTCCTTACATCTTGCATGTGTAAAGTCTTGGAGAGAATTGTTCTCAATCGTTTCATGTTTCAAGTCAAAGAAAAACTGACTCCTAATCTATATGGGTTTAGGCCCAAGTGTAGCACACAAACATGCTTTGCTGAATATTTTGTACACTCCCAGGATGGTACACAGACAGTCTTTATTGACCTAAAGTCAGCTGTCGATGTAGCTAATGGCGAAATAATATTAGAGCAATTTGCTGAATTTGGAATCAAATGTAATCGTATGGGTTAGATAAAGAACTGCCTCTCCAACAGGTGTGCTAGTGTTCTATTTAAAGGAGTTAAAGTACAAGAACAGATGCCTACAAACTAGGCAAACCTCGAGGTGGCGTCCAAAGCCCTATGCTCTTTAATATACTTATGCACAAACTTATCCATGGCATAGATGTACAACCTACTGAAACTGTTATATGTTATACTGATGATATTTGTATTATGGCACACGGTAAACCAAGACTTCAAGTATCACTTGATGCATTCTCCAAGAAAGTAGTAGAATGTGGCCTCCTAATCTCTGTTGATAAAACAAGGGTTCTTATTCCTCATTCTCTTCATGTTAACTATACTATTAATGGAGTGCCTATGGAGACTTGTGAGTCTTATAAATATCTTGAAGTCGAAGTTAATGATACAAATCTCATCAGCAACCTTCGCAGAAAACTTGAGCGTCTTAAACCTCTCAAACCTCATGTGGGCCAAAGAGTTGGCATTAACATAAAAAATGCTCGAAACTTTTACACTGCCTTCATACGATCTGTTGCTGATTATTATGCCTTGCATCTTTTTCCTTTTTCGCCTAAACAATTACAAGGCCTAGATGTAGTACAGAATGATGTCATGAGCATCATCCTGGGTTGGCCTAGAACTGTCAGAATTGATAACATGAGAAAGGAACTAAAATTACCTTCTATTTATGAGAGAACCGTTCTACTTATTACTATGTTTTGCGCCAAAACTTTGATAATCATGGGTCCCCTCAGCTCTATTCAAATTAAATTGAGATCCATTCTAAACAGTTCTGACTGTTCCCTCACTCCGCTGCAAAAAGTTCCTTACAGTGTGTGGCTCAGTTGTTGTGCCTGTACTCTTTTGAAACTGAATGTGTCTCTTAATCCTGATAAAACTGTTCACTATATTTCCCCTTGGAAAGATGTGCAGGTCTCTTTGCATTATACTCCCATTAGTGTAAAACAAATGTATAACACTGAAACTATGAGATGTATAATATTAGAAGTTACTGACAGTCATCTTTAAAATCTCAAACCTACTGAATCGTATGCCTTACCGATGGCTATGTGCAATTAGGCACTGATAGAACAGGTTGTGCATGTGCATGTTGAGTATATAAAGGAAATGAAATGATCATGACTAATACACAAAGATTGAACAACTGGCAAGCAGGACACAGACTGAGCTATTGGGTATTTATCTAGCCACTGAGTACTTTAAGCTCAATGGTGGTGGAGTGATATTCTGTGACTCTAAAAGTGCTCTGCAGTTCTTAAATAACCCATCACAATGTATGTCTGAAGTAGCTTGTAATATTCAATGGAGTGGAATTTTTGCTAATGATAATAACTTACTGTATAAAATTGGTGTGGATCCCATCCCATGCTGGAGTTGGAAAACATGACTTTGTAGATTGACCAGACCACATACTAGAAGGTGAAGGGACGACGACGTTTCGATCCGTCCTCTACCATTCTCAATCGACTTGAGAATGGTCCAGGACGGACCGAAACGTCGTCGTCGCTTCACCTTCTAGTGTGTAGTCTGATCAACATATTTTAGCCACGTTATTTGTGACTCATCGCCTGCATGATTTTATAGATCGATTGGTCAATGAGGCTTGCAGGAAAGAAAACACTAATTATGACTTTGGACTATCTAATGCAATTATTAAAAACATACATATAAAGAAATTAACTCAGATTTAGAAGAACAAATAATTGCCCAGAGACCTGAAAGCTGCAGTATTAAAAGCTATAACAACTTTTGAAATAATAAACATTTGTAAGGTTAGCACAGTAACCGGACCAGGCA